AGAACTGGAGTTTTGGATGGAATGGATGGAGAATGAGATGGGCAATAGAGTTATGGATGGAATGGATGGATGGAGAATGAGATGGGCAATAGAGTTATGGATGGAATGGATGGAGAGAATGAGATAAGGACTGGAGTTATGAATGGAGAGACTGAGATGAGGACTGGAGTTATGGATGGAATGGATGGATAATGAGATGGGCAATAGAGTTATGGATGGAATGGATGGAGAGAATGAGATAAGGACTGGAGTTATGAATGGAGAGACTGAGATGAGGACTGGAGTTATGGATGGAATGGATGGAGAATGAGATGGGGAATGGAGTTATGGGTGGAATGGATGGAGAGAATGAGATGAGGACTGGAGTTATGAATGGAGAGACTGAGATGAGGACTGGAGTTATGGATGGAATAGATGGAGAATGAGATGAGAACTGGAGTTATGGATGGAAGGATAGAGAGAATGAGATGAGGACTGGAGTTATGGATGGAATAGATGGAGAATGAGATGGGCAATAGAGTTATGGATGGAATGGATGGAGAGAATGAGATAAGGACTGGAGTTATGAATGGAGAGACTGAGATGAGGACTGGAGTTATGGATGGAATGGATGGAGAATGAGATGGGCAATAGAGTTATGGATGGAATGGATGGAGAGAATGAGATAAGGACTGGAGTTATGAATGGAGAGACTGAGATGAGGACTGGAGTTATGGATGGAATGGATGGAGAATGAGATGGGCAATAGAGTTATGGATGGAATGGATGGAGAGAATGAGATAAGGACTGGAGTTATGAATGGAGAGACTGAGATGAGGACTGGAGTTATGGATGGAATGGATGGAGAATGAGATGGGCAATAGAGTTATGGATGGAGATGGATGGAGATGGATGGAGAGAATGAGATGAAGACTGGTCTTATGAATGTAATTGATGTAAAGACTGAGATGGGGACTGGAGTTATGGATGGAATTGATGGAGAGAATGAGATGGGGAATGGAGTTATGGATGGAGATATATGGGGTGCTAGAAATGCTAATAATACTAAATAAAATCTATGAAAATGTTGTTCATTAAATTTGAAAGATTAGTTGACAATGGCACAAGCAGATCTTTCAAATATGGGACCAAATTTTACCAGCGTCAACTTTAATATTATCTCATATTCTACACAAACATGACGTTGTTACAATAAACTGACAATACAAGACTGTTATATACATGCCCTCTTATTATTGGATGAAATCTTTGCCATTTGACAACAGACTGGTAGTGACAACTAAAACCACATAACTCTACTATTACTTAAGCAAGCAATGTTTGAGGCTAGGTCACTAAAATATTTAGCTCACCAGATGTGCAGTTATTACATTTCGTTTGAGATCTCATTTCTCAACCTGACTATAGAAATCAGTAATGTGTGGAACATGCTTGTTATTAGTTTACGTATGCAATGGCTAACTCACTAATTATACATCCATGATACACCCCCAGTATCTAACACCATGTTACTATCATCTAGTTTGACACTGCTTCATTTAGGTTAGGGTTTGTAAAGACGGAAATAGTACTACTGATATTATCAGCTGAATGGTATCTACAGGTTATTTTCCATTGGTCGATGACGTTGACATATGAAAGGAATGTGCAGTTGAAATTAAACATAATCTTACATGCTTGAAACGAGGAACTATCATGCTACAAGTCTCGTGCAATCAAGTAACTTACCACATAAACTCAACAGTCAAAAATATGAATTCATTCAATCTTAAACAATGAATATGCAAAATGAAATAAGTGAAAATTAAAATGTTAATAACATGAATAAATAGAAAAAAGAAATGGAACAAGCAAAAGTAATGAAAATGAACTGAAACTACTGTTTAGAACAATGTATGAGAAAAAAGATCATAGTGGCAGCAAAGTGTATGAGCTGCCGTAATAACTTGCAAGCTGCTATTTTTACAATATATTTTTACTTTGAATTTATTGTCACAGACAGCCACTGATTGATTGTTTATTCAGTATACTAGTAACTTCCACCAGTATCAAGAATCGCCACGCCCACCCCCAAGAACCGTCATACATCAGCTAGTACACTTAATTGGCAATATTAAATTATTGGCCACAGTGTCTGGCAAATTCAACAAACACATAACATGCCCTTGTCTTTCACTGCTGTGTGCAATATTGTACATTGTCCCTACTGTACATGGAGGGCTTTGGGAGGTGTGGATACTTGAAAGTTGAATGTAGGAAATAAGTACTTTCCATTGTACCCCACTCCTAATTCCAAATCTAGGACACCTCAAGTTACCTAGTGGCCGCACACACAATTATGTTATGGTGATGGATGTAGGTGAGGTTTTACAATGGAAAGTCTTTTCAGGAGATGTTGCGATGATGTATTTTTAGCCCCCAACCCCTCCAGGCCTTGTCCTTACCAAAATGGCTACCCTGAACAAGGTAACGCAAGTGATTAAGGGAAAAATAATACTATATAAAATATATCAAAAATGGTATAGATTGGGAGTAATAATTAGTTCTTCAGGGTCTTGATTTGGGTGTCACCCTCTTTAGAAGGTAAGGTCTGTCCTTCAAGAGTATCCCATCCCACTTTTTTTATTTTAATAAACTCACCTTAACCCTCCTTGTGTCCTTGAAAAAATAAGACATAATAAAAATGTCAGCGCCCATAGAAAAGCAAGCACAAATATGCCAACCCCAACGCCCAATACTGTTGCCATGGTGTTCGATAACTCGAAGTCGACACGTTTAAACCAGTCCTGGTTGGAAGAATTCAGCAAAGTAAACTGTACAACTTCTGTTGATGCGTTTAACAACACACAAGGGTCACATCAGAGATGAATATTTTGGTAAAATAAGTCGCATACAGATTCCACGAAAAATAAACAAAATGAAAGGCTGTCACTGTCAGCGTTCAATCGATCATTCCTCCATTTTGAACTGGTGTAAGTTCACATCGGTATTTTTTTCCTCAGTTGTAGTGAAGGAAAAAAATTGTTTTGATTCTTTGTGATCTTCTGCCGTTCAAAGTGGTTTGATTAGTGTTTCACAATGATTACTAGTATCATCAACACACGACACGTACAATTTGTTTGGAGTCTGCTGCTTCTGGAATTTGACCTCAGACATGCGCATATCTAAGTGACCTTTCCTAGTTTCGTTCTCCTAAACGGCGTACTGATTGGATGCGTTCGATTGCTGACCTTATCAGCGACCAATCATAAAACCTTTTATAGAAATTCTTTTCAATTGAAACAATCAGCTGCGAGTGAAGTTACAAACGATGCTTTTTGTTGTGTGATCATTCTACAGTGCAGCAGTAAGAATTCAACGGTAAATTAATATTTTAAACGTTTACTGAGTTATTAGAGGTTGGTATCAGGGGATATTACATGGAATATTGTTCAATATCGGTGAATTTATGGAGTAAACTCGTCACTAGACCGCAATCTAGCGTGTGTTCCTATTTAGTACTTCAAATTTGTCCAAAGTTCCATTCCTGTCAGTGTTTGTTTCGAACACTACTGATTTTGTAGGGATCCTGAGTTAAACGGAGTCCCTAAAATCAAGTGTAATTTCAATTTATGTTAATTTCATTTTACAGAATTACAAGATCTTTATATCAATCTCTGTATTGCGTCAATGACTGAATTATCGAAACTTGTTGAGTCGCTGCTCGTCACAGCAAATCTTTGTGCGCCAGTAGCGCGTCATTTCAACTTAGAGGGCACGCTGATTCTTGGACCAAAAATTAGCCTAACAATGATAGTGTAAGACCACAGGGGCTTGACGATCTATTCGTCTCAATGTGTGGACTTCTATGGGGCCGTGCGATTATGTCCCGGTACAGGACCTTGCCCTTGCTCAAAATAATAGAAATTATGAAATTAAAACAGTTTAGTAATGTAATGTAAAACAAGCATATGTTATTAAATTTAATCATCATGCTCCGAAACCACAAAAATCACTAATACTTGTTTCCGGCCGATCAGCTTGCACTATATATAAGACAAGGGAAGAAACAAAATATGCACACATTTTTCTAGCTGCCGAAAATCATACCTCAAAATACAAAATACCTTGTCCAAACCAGTTACGAGTGCTTATAAGACATTGAACTATCGCAAAATGTTGTCCGATTACATATAAATCATATATTTTTCCAGATTTTACGCATTTCTTTGCTGCCAGAGTTTGAAATTCTCAACTATGCATAACCATTTATACACAATTCTATATTGGCGATCTGCTCCGCTAGGATTGCCCTTATAATCACTTTTGTCGTTTTGTGTGTGTGTGTGTGTCTGTGTGTGTACATTTCCAGTGTTCCAGTGTTCACGTATTATTTCTTCTGTGATTTTTTTGGCTTGGCCGATTTTTCTTCAACTTGGCAGGTAGGTCACACCTTAACCCTAGTATAAGGAAAAATCTG